TCAGAGTCATATTCCTATAAAATCTGCCATGGCTTGTTTTCCATTGGTGTCTAGTGAGAAACTGTTCCACTGTGATTTAAATCTTCGTTGGCAAATTCGTTTAGAGTATTGTTTACGTAAGATCAAAAAGTGGGAATGGGAGGCCCAGAGAGGCTGAGGGGGCTGAGGGATCTCCATCTTTGGGTACTCAGCCATATGAGGCCCTGAGCAATCTGCTGTGGTTGACCTTGCTGTAAGGAGCAGGGTTGCCTTAGGTGATGTCCCATGGTGCTTTCCTGCCTCGACCATTTTGTGATACATGAAGTTTTCAAGCGCTCTGTGATTGCCAAAACTGCACTTCTAAACTGTTTCTAAAGCACTGGCCATCGCCCCTGAAATTTCACAGCCCATGAAATCCCCACTTACAGTGGGATTGATTTGCCTTAACATGTGCATACTGTACCACCTGAGATGTTCAACAGTATCTCACTGCAGCTCTGGCTTGCAGCTCCAGAAAGGGAAAGCTCCCCCAGGAGTCTATGGTTGTATCTGCCAACCCTGAGCAGAACTCTTAGATGCCCTGGAGCACCCCAAAATTAGCTAAGCTAATAACTAGGTGCATAATGGAATTATCAAGAAATAATCAGCTGCTGGTCATGCTAATTCTACTGAGTGTGGAGCCATTTTGTTGATACTTCCATATTTTAGTTTGCAGTGATGATTTAACTCATAAATTCAAAGGCTTCACTGTGATGAATGAAACTGAGCGATATGAAGCCCTCAGACACTGTCGCTATGTGGATGAGGTCATCAGAGATGCACCCTGGACACTGACACCCGAGTTCCTTGAAAAACATAAGGTACATTCCTTCCCTTATTCTTCCCTTCCTCTTTGTAGACTGACACTTGAGAATTAACAGCAAGGCTGTGAAATCCTATTAGCTGGAACAAATTATTTAATTCAGTTAATTCCAGTCACTGAAATTAGGTACATGGTGTTTTTTGCCTCCACCTTTGTCAGAAAATGTGTTTGTCTTGCCTTTTTTTTTAGTCAATACATCAAGGTGATTCCTGTAGTGAGAGTTTTGAATGGCAAAGGAACACTGAAGAATTATTCACAAATTGACTTTCAGGAAAGGAGATCACAAACCAGGAAAATTGTCATGTAGTGGCTAAAGTCCCGAATTAAAAGCACATTTCTTATTAATGTCAACGAATGAAATAATTGGCCAGAAATACATAAAAATGTCATATGTCCTCTAAAAGGCAGGATAGAATTTCTTACATGCTATTGACTGTCTTGAAATGTATATGAATCTTAACAAAGCATAATTAACTCAGATGTATTTTAGCGCCCACATCATTGGGTGACAAAAAGACAGTACTAGGTATACACACAGCCCTAAGGAGGCAGAATCAATAATCCTGCCTTCAAGGTGCTGAAAGCTTTGCCACTTCACTTTGCTTGTCCAGTAGCAATAAAAGCAGGAACGGGCATCTTAGGTTTTCTACAGAATATCACACAGAGCCAGTCAGAATGACGTGTTCATGGCAGTGCTTCTGGACACAAGCTTTCCATTCTTTCATACTGATCATGCAACACAGCAGTTGTAGGCCTAAATCTAGTGCAATATTCTAGGTGATGGCTTTAGGATGAGAATGTCAAAAGCAAGTCAGCTGAAGTCAAGAAAAGAGATGACCCTCCACAACGACCCCTTACTGAAACAAAATTCAGTGATGGTGGCATGTGATTCTTCTTCTGTTCACTGGCAGATTGACTTTGTAGCCCACGATGACATCCCATACTCCTCCGCTGGCTCGGATGATGTATACAAACACATAAAGGAGGCAGGTAAGGGCAACTTTTCATTTTTAGCACCTTCATTTTCAGCCTTGGCTCAAATTACTTTACTGCCTTTTGACCACAACTGGTGGGAGAGAAGCGGTAGAGAGAACATCAAATTCTCTTACACCCTAATAGTAGGTTCTGCTGAGTCCAGTGGAAAGATTGACTTTGTAAAACCAGAAAGAATGTCCTTAGCTGAATTCCTGACATAACCCCCAGGAAACCATTCAGATCTGTCATGAAACAGTCCCATATGGGTTTTTAAAACAATTTAAGTATCCCTGAGTAAAAGCTTTGAGTGAGTGAAAACGAGTTTAGTTCCCACGGCAGCCCAGCCAACTTCAGATGTTTGCTGATAACTGTGAACTGATGACTCCTCGACACAGCCCAGTCCTGAATATGGGCAAACACAGGCAGCCTTCTGGAGTCATTAGGATCCACTTCTGCTTTGCACTGTGGGTTCTTTTCACTGTTCAAGGAAGCTGAATTAATTCTGAACAGAGAATGTTAACCCACTGTTTGCCAGTGGCAGCTGTGCTAACACAGTGAACAGTGCCAGGGGAGGAACCGATCATACCTTTTTTCTCCTGCTCCCTAGAGATGCTGCTTTGAACTTTGGCAAATCTATCCTCTTCCTGGTCTACAAAAACCTGTATATGGTAGAGGCTTAAAAAAAATTCCAGAGCAAATTTGCCTGATGGTAATTTGTCATGCAAAGTGACCTTCTCAAGCTATACAATGACAGCAGTAGACCACGTATTGACCTGAGCTGAAAGAATAAGCTTTTTATAGCAGCAGTTCTTGATCTTTTTCTACTTGCAAACTTCATTGTGGTGTAAAATTCACAACCCTCCTTTGGGAATTGCTGTCCTACAGTTTCAGAGCCAGCACCAGCTGACTTCACTAGGCCGTGATTACTCCCATTTTTCCACATCAGGTTGTGGGGGAGCAGAGAAGCAGATGGGAACTGTGGAGCTCCTTGTGTAGAGTCCCATGGGCTCCCACTTCCCCACTCCCTTCAGTGGGTGGGAGGGCACAGGGGTGGTGAGCTGGGTAACTGTGTGCTGACTAAACCTCTGCACATCTGTGAACAGTTACTTTGGAAAACATGAATCAGTGCAACATGTGAAGCATATAAAAGCAAAATCAGTGACAAAAGGTAATGTTCTCATACCTGGGTTTGTGCGCCTACTTAAGGACAATTCTGCCTTCGACTTAGCAAGGGTAGAGTTTGGATTTTGTTCATGTATTCTTGTAGCTCATATCTATAAAGGCTTCTGGCTCAAAGTGGGTTTCACTGCTTCCAAAAATAGTTTCCTGAGTGACTGCTGCAAGCCTGAAAAGCACGATCAGGGAAACCTCTCTGCTTGTGATTAAAATAATCTATTTTTTTTAGCAGAGTATTAATTAGAGATCAGAAAGAAAAACTATCACATAGCAGTTAGTCACAAGAGACTGCTAAGCTGCTTGATTCCTTCTCCAGATCTTTTTCTAACCCTATGAAATTAGGTAGTAGTGCCTGCCTACTTCAAGAACATGGGAGGATTAATTTGCCAGTAGCTATAGCACACTTTTAAGACAAAGCACTACTTCTTTTTGCAAAACCATTTTCAGTCTTATCTCACAGCACCCTCTCATCAGCAGCTTGATGTTGCAATTACCTGTGAGAGAAGTAATTTTTTGTATACTACAAAAATAACTACAAAACCAAGGTGTGCTAGCACTCTGCTATTATTGCCTTTGTGACTTGCATTAACAGTTCAAGTGATCCTGTCTTGATGAGGAGCAATTAAAAAGCAATATATACCCCAGCTGTGTTGATGAAAATACAAGCACTATTATTAAATGTCCAGTTTTCTTAGGGACTGATCTGTTGGAGCAGGGGGAGAGGTTATGCAGCCACTGAGATGGCCCAGTGGACGTGAAATGGGGGCTATGGAGATTGATACCTGCAGTCCCTGTGGTATGTCCATGTTTGTTCACACTACCATTATGCTTCACCTTTCTGTTACAAGCTACTGGCACCTCCAGGGTGTTTTCCACTTCTTGTAATGCATCTTTTACCTAAAGGCACTTCCTGGCTTTGGCCAAGGCCAGAGGCTGGTCTGTTTTACTCAGCACAACAAAGATTGTCAGATGGTGCAGTACAGGAATGGAGGAGAAAGTGGAAATACGCAGGAAAGCAGCAAATGCCCTATTGATAGCGTGAGTGGAAGCCAACCCCCGGCTCCTTTAGGTAACACTAAATAACATTAAATAATACACTATGGAAAGAACTGCTCAGCGAATTGCCACAGCTGTGAGGTTTAGGCTTCCCAGCTCCGGAGCCCCTGCCAGTCTAATAACTTCCACATCACAGCTGACACTGTGAAGAGGGCAAGTTGTAGCCTTTCTGAAGCTTCCCTCTGAAGACTTGAGGGAAAACGAACAGTATAGCAATTCAGTATCTTCCAGTGCCTTCCCTAAGCTCACACAGGAAAAACGGGAAAGAACTAGGAATAAGACAGGTAGAATTGCAAGTCTCTTACCTTTGGTCAGGCATTTTTGTGTTCATCCTCAGCCACCTGCTGCAGTGCCTGGTCCTAGCTTGCTTTCTCAGTGGGCTTTCTTTTCCCACTTTGCTCAGGAATGTTTGTACCAACGCAGAGAACCGAAGGTATCTCCACATCTGATATCATCACAAGGATCGTGCGGGACTATGACGTGTATGCCCGGCGCAATCTCCAACGAGGATACACCGCCAAAGAGCTGAATGTTAGTTTTATAAACGTAAGTAGATGGATCTGCATGTGCTTCTGAGACACTCTTCCTAGGACCCTGAATGTAGAATAAAGCTTAAGAAAGAATATCTTCCTCCTGCTGCTTTTAAAATAGCTAGGAAGAACTTAATTTAAAAGAAACTGGTAAGCTGAGGGTTGTTTTAATTGCTCCTATTAATTAGCAGCTTCATTTCCATCTTATGCTTTTATGTTTATGACAAAGCTGCTGCTTCCCCTTCCTCCTTCAGCTGTAGGTGGTTTAATGACAGGCTAGGAAGGAGCCCACCCTACCACTGCAGGCTTCTCAGCCACTCACCCAAAACACAATTTCTTTCTTTATTGCCATTATAAGAAGACAGCACAGAAAGCAAATATTGTGATATCCAAACTTTCTCTACACTGTAACAAAAAATATACCAAACCAACCACTGAGCAGTGTGATTACTAGAGAAAGCTAAAATGGTTTTTAAAGGACAAGGAAGTGTGTTATGTAGCTGGTACATAAATGATGCTGAAGAAATCAGAAGCTACAATTGTAGGGCAAGGGCACCATTTGTAAGGATGGCTCAAATTATCCAGCTTCCATGTACAGAATTGCACCTTACACTCCAGTGGGGAGTAAACACTTGACAGAAATAAAGTTTACTTTCCTTCATTTTCTGTTTCAAGTCTTAACTTAAAGCCTCAAGATAACCCACATAACTGAAATCTTCCTCGTAATTGGGCTGACTTGCAGCAGGACTTCCCACCTCCTTCCCTGGTCCTGGGAAACCCCTTGTGATGGACTGAATTGTGTAATTTCATAAGGGTTTTGTGTACTGGATTATTGTTTTGAAGTCTGACAGGTAAATAACAGATCATAGGGCAAAAATTTTTATTTCACTGGGCTTTTCTTTTCAGCTTTCTACACCTCTACAAATCCTGCTTGTAAGTATTCCATCCAGAAGGATCATTATTGCAAATATCCATTAAATTCAGGCATGCTGCACCACTTGGGAGTTCTCAAATTTATCCTTTAGCAGCTCTAAGGTTAAGATACTGTCGCATAAAGTATACTTCCCCAGCCTCAGACACTGGTGTGTCCTGAAGTCCCTACTGGCAGTTGGTTATTTAGCTTATAGTAATTTAAATGCAGAAATAGTAATTTCCACCACAGATTGTGTGTGTTTCAAAGTTAAAACCACAGAATTTCAGAAAGGCAGAATAGTGCTGGTTTCCTCACTAAAGGAAGGCTTGATCATCTATTAGGTGTAAGATAAGTTTGATTTCTTTGGACTTTGAGGATTTTGTTTGGACTTGTGGCCTGCAAAGACAGTTCTTCTAGCAATTCATGAACCCACCTCAGCACTAAACATTACTTCTTTTAAAAGTAAATTCAGGTGCCTATTAAATTAAGTTCACAGGAAGTTAAAAGCTGATAGTGATCTGTGCTTCTACAGAACCTGTTACACCTTCAAGAGCACAGCATTAGCTGTGTATGTTTGTGGAGTACAGAACCTTTCAAAGAGACAAAAGCCCTTTATAACCCTTCTTAGTATTTTAGAAGCTTGGCCTGATGAGAACTCCCTAACTTTATCTTCTCTGTCCCTCTCTTTTTCTGCATTACTGTCAATTAGGAGTTTACTCTTTTTCTATGAAGTCTGTTGGCCACATGGCACTCGTCTACACATATCTTTGTTGCAGCCAAAAGTTCTTGAAGTGAGTTTTCCTTCTGCTCTGCAGAAACCCAACCAAAGAGACATTTTGGTCCAAGTTAACATCCAGGCTGGCAAGTCAGCAGCAGGCTGCATTTGCTAGGAAACCCAGGGAGGTTTGCCTTTTGCTTACTGCTAAGTTTGAGCTGTTAATGTCTCACTTGTATCCTTCACAAGATTCATAGAATTTTCAAAGTGCATTCAGTTTGAAAAATACGGAAAGGGTGGATTAAATTCAGTAATCACCCAGCACAGTCTTTTCAATATGTACCTTCTGCACTTCGTTCCACAAATGTTACATTTGCATTTATAAAAATAACACGGGAATAGTTAACCAAGGCCATATGTATTAGGATACATTAATGCAATTTGTTTCTTCTTCTCAACTGGCAGTGGCTAATTAATTTCCAAGTCCCTATATATTAATCTCTGTCTGCACTTTTAAAACAGGAGAAGAAATACCGCTTTCAAAACCAAGTGGACAAAATGAAAGAAAAAGTCAAGAATGTGGAGGAAAAATCAAAAGAATTTGTTTACAAGGTGGAAGAGAAAAGCCATGACCTCATTCAGAAATGGGAAGAAAAGTCCAGGGAATTTATTGGCAACTTTTTAGAGCTGTTCGGACCTGATGGAGCCTTGGTAGGTATTCTGCCATTCTAGGAAGCCTGGGTGGCTTTTATTTCTCTCCCATAACACAGATCAAGAGCAGATTCTTTTGCTGCAGTCTTTGTTTTGAAAGCCAGCACAGTAGGATAACACCAAACCTGCTTGCTGAATCCAATAATGCGTGCCAATACTGCAGTGGGAGGATATGGCACTTCTGACTGTTGCTTCTTTGGGATAATTTCTATCTTTTGTCAAGGTGTGATGCTGAATGTGATACTGCATTCAGTAAAGCCGTGTAACATCAACGCACAAGCAAACAGGCTACTACAGTGTGTTGTCCCCATTAGCACTAAGTGGGACCACACAGACATCAGAGAGGGATCATACACTGGAAGTGGTGAGGGAAACAAGACCATCAAAAGGTTTTACCAAAGTTCTTTTCATGCTCTGTACTCAGCAATAGAAAATGACAATTTTCTAACTTGAAAAACTACTGATTTAAATTTCCAAGAAATGATTTTACACATCAAGCGGCCAGGCTCATCTAACTGACTGCAGGGGAGGCTTAGGAACTGAAGCACTTTGAAAGCTCTCCTTGGTACATGCTGGCTCCACAGAGCCTGTTTACCAAAGGCCCCCAGGTGCCCTGGGAAGGCAGTGGAGGGTCTGCAAGAGCATCCTTCTGCGAAGAAACCCTGGGGCCTCACCTGCTCAAACCAAAGTCACGTACTGAGTTAGTGGTTTGAGCAGGTGACACTTGAGAGCCCCAAAAGAGTCCTGGCCCCCATTTTCAGTTCTGATAGCTTGCCAAACCTTGAGAAACTTTGTCTTTTTGTACTACTTCCCCTTGCTACATTGAAACCAATAGCAAAGCTTAATTTATATGTAGAATTTATCTGTTCCTAGGCCTTCCCAGACCTTCCTGTTGGGAGTCAGTCCTTTTCCAACAAGGTCTCTCTGTGTATCTATCTGAGTTCTGGTGAAAACCCAGGCCCCAGCCAGACCCTCCAGTACAGGCATCATCTCAGATGTGCTGCTCTAGTTGCAAGCTCTAAGCAAAGCTATTGCCTTGTTCAAGGAAATGTGAGCGAGCATGGAGGAGAGCAGCAAGCACTGCAGGGTGAACTGAGGGGAGCAGAGTCAGAGCTAGACAAATAATCCTGCAGAACAGTAGGATGCTTCAGAGGTACACTTTCAGACCGTGGTGTGCAGACAGTCAGGCATCTGCCTCCTCACTTGAGAGCAAACCCTTTGCAGGAGTCTTGTGCAAAAGCTTTCACTGCCCGTGCATTACAACTTCAGGCAAAATGTCAACAGCAGCAGCAAGCCAGAAGAAACAGTTTAGGACTAACATGAAGCAGATACTATTGGAATATTTTTAAAGAGCAAACACACACATAATGTTCTCTCAGGTCACTCTTACCAGTTCATAGCTGAACAAATTCCCGTCACAAAAGGTACCTTGTGTTAAAAGGATCTCAGCAGAGGTTTTGTTTAATAACAAACCCTCATGAAGAGTCACAGAGCTCTGGTGAATTAAGTAGTCCACATCACAGCCATGTCACAACTCTGCCATTAAAGCACGTAACATAGTACCTGCCTCTTACTGGAGTTCTCATCTTTTCTCTGCTACAACATATTGATTACCACTCAGTTGAGAAAAACCTCAAATTAGGCTGTGAAGGCTTCAGAACAGAAACTGCATCTCTATAACCTCTTTACAATGTCTGTCCCATGCAAAGGCAGGTGCTCTCTGAATAACATAAGTCATAGAATCATAGAATAGTTAGGGT